CCTTTGATCCATCTGTGGACTTTTCTGTTCCTAGAATGGCACTGGCAGCTAGGGGAGAAGCAGCTCCAAAATATCCATTGGTGGCAGCAGTAGCAGCAGCCAGGCTACCTAATGCGAATGTCCCCGCCGTGCCGCCAGCTGTGCTGCCGCTGGCCGAGGCTTCGCTGGCATAGGTGGCCAACAAGTTGGCTGCTGCTGCTGCTGGGTTGGCACTGGCAGCTGCTGCGGCCAAAGCCCCCGTTGCCGCCGCTTGACTGAGGCCTAAACCTAACGTGTTGAGATTATATCCGTAGCTGGCTAATGTATTAAGTGCAGAGGTGATGGCCACCAGGTCGTTGCCTGTGAAGCCAGATAGAACTGCCGGGAAGGCCGCCACGCCGGCAAGGTTAGCGTGTCCTAAGAGCCCTGCGGCGGCGGCGGCGGTGGGCAACACTTCAGCAGTGTTTGCATAAGGAGATCCGGTCGGATTGGAATTTGCCACGGGACCTGTAACATTGGCATAACTGATATTGAGGCAGCTGCCACTCTGTGGATCCTCTTGTATCTTCTGGATGATAAGTTCAACAGCTTTTCGGTTTTGTTCAGGTTCTCCACTCACAGTGACAACCCTCTCTTGCAAGTTGATCCCATCAGGTTTCTGGGAAAGCTGCACCCAAGCCCCTGACTGCTCCATTATAGCCTTCACAGTAGCACCTCCCTTCCCTATTATCAGACCTGCTGTGCTGTTGGGAACTATAATCTTTACCTGTAATCAAAAAAAATACATATAAATAATACTTCTGTTTTGCGTACATACATTATATTACTTCGCTACCCTAGAAAAAGTAAAATGACAAATTGAAAATTAGTTGAGATATAATTTACGAAAGATGGAAACATCACAACTTCTAAAGTGACTTTCATCATATTTTAATTCAACGATATAGTGAAATTAGGATTTTCAAATGAAAAAAAAAGCAATTTCCAGCTTTCAATTATTTTTAAAAAGTTGCCTTAGTCTGTGTATTTTGCAGTACAAGTTCTAAGAAATCAGTATGTTTTTTAACAGGGAATAATAACTATATATCAATGCTAACATCTTTATATAGCTCCAAAATCAAAATGCTATTGATGTATTAAAGTACCTATTGTACTTTAAGAATATCTTTGCTCTGACATATTAGAGTGCAGGAACAAAGTTAGTTAAAAAAAAAAAAAGTAGGCAAGTTCTACCTTGAGCCCCTTCAAAACATTAATTTCATGTTCCTTATCACCTAGCAATTTTTGTGTTATTTAATACCTTACTTGTTTCACAACTAAATTTTCAGAAATGGAGATCAATAAAATAATTAAGAATATTTTAGTTTTTCAACTAAACTGATATACAACATATAACCCTACAAAACAATAAGTATTTATAAGTAATTAAACATTTCAATAATTTTAAGGAGGTTAAGGCGATTTGAGAATTATGTTACCTACATATCCTATCTAAATTTGTAAAATGACTAATTTTATTAGCTAGATAATTTTTTTTTGGCAGCCATAGCTATATTTTTAAAATAGGGCTTAAAACCATATTACTCATGGATACTGAATAATTACTCTAGTCACATGTATACTTATAACAATCCAGTATAACCATATAAATTATAATTACTTTAGCCAATTTGTATTGAAACATCCAGCCACAAAAATCAACATATTTTGATTTATTTAATCACAATAAAATAAAAAGTAAAGAATGAGGATGGTACCCTCCATAACCTCTGAAATTAATATATAGATATTTACATTTAAAGTTGTATTTTGGTAGCACAAAAAAAAATATGGCACTGCTTTATGACTCATTGGGTAGATGAAAAACTGAGTGTGTTGTGTCACTAACAAAGCAGTGAAGCGTTGCTTTCCTTGTCGCAACATTACCATGGGAAGGCTGAAATAATATGTTAAAGTTTGAGAAAGAATTTAGTTTGGATATTTTATCAGATATTTAATTCACTCATTTTTAGCAAGTAATACCATGCTATCTTTACAACAGATTTGGGTGAGAGTATTTTCAAGAAACAGAGCTCCACATTTTTGGCATTTTGCTCTTGATGATAGCAAATGGTGGAAGTATTAATTCAAATTCTAGACAGGGTCACCTCATAAATATATGTACATATATTATGCACATAAACACACACATACACACATACACTTTTCTTTCCACTCATATAATTTATAATCACAGTAGAATTTTGTTTCATTCATATTTGTTTATATAATCATTTCATTTAATTAAAGGAAATCTAAGTTTTCTAGAAACATTTCTTAAGAATGTCAAATACATCCCTCATATTTCATGTGATTAAAAGCATTGAGTTTTAAGAAGTAGACTGAGAAATAAAATTTTAACATGTTAATTTGTTCATAGGCTTTATTTTTATAGAAAATTATTTATTTGAAATGCTGAATTAATGCATGTTAAAGTGTTATAATTAGAAAGTTAAGCCATGGTTATTAAAACAATTATAAATATGAATTAGAATCATCCTTATATTTTATATTGTTCACACAAAATATTGAGAAAATTTACTTTTAAGGATTTAAATTCTGAGTGCCAAATATTAGTACTATTTATAAATATTACTTTTAAAAATCAGAACAATTTTGCAATAAAATATTGTTGAAAACATACTGCACACCAGTCTCATACTACATCTAATGCATCCACAGCTTTCTTACTTTTTAAACTCTTGTACTAATTCCGTCTTTCCCAAAAGAACTTGCAAATGTGTGCCTACTACTTACTTAATTGCACATTACCTTTCTTTTATTTCTCTCTTTAATAATTTTTCTTTCTTTTCAATACTAAAAATTTCTGAAATAATATATAGTTTAGAAGCAATGGGTAGACTCTTCAAGAAACTAAAAGTCTGTATATTTAGAAGTTAAAGAATTACACCATATCATCTATCCTTATACTAAAGATATTTTTTGTAATAAGTACCATTACCTGAAATTTATTTTATAACTATTTGAAATAACTTATATAAAATATTGTCAGCCATAATTCAAATACTGAAGTGACCCCCAAATTTTGTAGACACAACTGACATTTGTCCACAGATAACTAAAGGTGTGTTATAACTTAAAAGAAGACATTAATAATTGGATATTAATATTTATAATATGTAGCACTTGCTAAATTTAGATTGTACTAATTCTGCATAAGATTACTTATCTTAGTAATTAAATTAGAAATTAAATTAGGAAACATAAATGTTATCAAATTCCACATTAATAAATATAAATATTTAATAGCCTAGCCACGGAATATGTCACCCAACTTTTATTTTTGACACAAATATATTAAAAGTCTCTTAGATTTACACTATCTTTTTTCTTAAATGATTAAAAATATATATTGGCACACTTCATATTAACCTAATATGGACATATACAGAAAACAGATCCTCTAATAAGAAGTTGAGACAAAAAAAAAGAATTCATTTGTATGATATCTCAGAGAGCAGTGCTCCATTTCCATTTTATGTGTTAAGTCAGAGCCAAGAAGAAGTGAAACACCGGAGTGGAAGCCTGGAGATGGTGGGCAACTGAATCCTGGGTGGGAGCAACAAGGAGCAGGAAGAATAAGACAGCCTACTTGCTTACTTCTTAGACACAGGGATACAGCATTTACTAAAGGAAAAGTCTGTGTATAGACAGTGTTTGTGTCCCAGCTAAAATGATAAATATCAGATTTCAATCATATGCACACTTTCATTTGCTGTGGTGAAGTTTGTTAACAAACTGACACAAATATATGTATTTGTATTTCAAAATAATTGAGAGAAAGAAGTGGATCTTAAGTAGCATACAAATTAATATATACCAACTAAATCAGGCATGTTCTTGACAGTTACAAATCCGTTTTCCCTTCGGAACTAAGATCTACAATTTTATCATCTATCCAGTCTTTTATGGAATATTTACCAAGTGGCCCAGGCCCTGTGTTGGGAGCTAGAGATAACAGACATATGAGACACTGTCCCTGCCTTTGAGGAACTTCTAGATGAGTTGTAGAAAACAGATGTGTAAATGTGTCAGTGCAGAAAAGTGTAAAAAGTACTGATACAAAAGAGACACAAACACCAGTTTGAAGGAGAAGGGGTAAGAAATTCTTTGGGGGATGATGATTATATATTTAAATGTCTTTCATATTTTTGTACTGACAGTATCCTATTCTTTACTATCAGGTATTCCCATAAAATTGCTCTGTAATTTCTGTGTTGTAAAGTTCCTGTACAAACCTAAACCCATGTTAGTATGACTGGTATCACAAAAGAGCCTCTATGGGAATCCTATGAAAAGTATTTAAAATAACAAATAGGTAGGTTTTAATATTGATATGTTTCTGATTGAAAATGAACATTAAAACAAACAAATTTATTCCTCTGCCATATAAGAACTTTAACACATTATGGTCTTATGAAAGTCTGAGAGTGTTTGTAAGGCATAATGCCTTCTTCATCATGGCAGAAAAACTATTGAACTATTTCATTAAACCATACTTTAAAATAAATGCAAAACTCATTCCACTATAATTTAAAATACCCCAATTAGTAGTATGCACTATATTTATTTAGGGTTGCTTCTTATGTATGGTCTTACATTCATAAAGTAATTCAATAGTAGATACATGTTATTTCATTCATTCAGCTTCTTACTGATTTGGGATTGAGCACATGACACATGATGGTCCAATAAGAATTAGCCTGAGAATATGGTGAAACTCTTGGGATAGTGATACCTGTTTCTAATCTAGTAAAACACAGCTTGACATTACTAGTGACTGTCTTCTCATCATATGGAAAGAGGAATAACGACTAAAAATAGTTAACCTATATAAAAAGAAACTCTAGAAGTGGAGAGAGAAATTTCTGACAGCATTTTGGCATACGAATCTAATATAAAGCCAACACAGAATCAATAATTCCCCTTTGTTTAAGACATTTTGAGTTGGATTTCTATAATTTGCAACCAACCAAATAGTATATTTGAAAATATTTTTATGTTTGTATCATATCATGCATTATATGTCTAGCCAAAAAAAACCAATACTGACATTTTATTGTGGCTCTTGATGCTCTAAAAGTCAAGATGTCACAGCACTGGTAAAGTGACAGAAGTAGATTACTTAAGTTGCCTTTAATAAAGATATGCCCAAATGATTCAATAGGAGCTGTCTCTTTCATTTCCATCATGGTTTATACCTTAGATTTCTGAGGCATAGTAGTGTCCACCGAAGATGCCTCTGTCAATTTGAAGTATGTATATTGAACTGCTGACTAAAATAAATATAAAAATTATATCTTTTCATTTAATATACATTATATATATATATATATATATATATATATATATATATATATGCGCATTCCTGAAAAGTACTGACTTAACAAAATACAGTGTGGAGGAAAAGCAGGTTTACAGTTGTATGTGAAACATGGAGTTTATTCTTTCCATAGGAACAACTGTAAAGCTACTTTTTTCCAACCCTGTATGTGCCATAGAGCTATATGAATACAAGTATCCAGAAAGAATAAAAAAAATCAGCTCCTCTAACTCTTTACTATTCCGTCTAACCTCCTCCCTTTTAATAACCAAATCAAGTTTTCATAGCAATTCTAATCCTTTTGTAAAATGCCATGTTGTCTTTTCTCATATATCCTTATCACTCACCTGTTACCAGCACCAGGTTTTAAAGTGGGACCTAGT